TTTTTTCAGTTTCTAGTTATTTGAGCGACTATTGTGAATTTTGCCTTTTCTTTAATGGAAGGGTATGAATACATTTGAGGATCTAAATTGAGCATGAACATTTGCCAATCAGCACTAAACACAAAGTACAGACGGGGAAGCCATTTTTTCTGCAGGTATTTGGTCATCAACAGCAACATAAATGTACTTGGCAGTCTACTTACAGCAGGGGTGTCGACATCCGGTCCTCGAGGGCCGCAGTCCTGCATGTTTTAGACGTTTCCCTCGTCCAACACGCCTGATTCAAATGATCAGTTATCAGACTTCTGCAGAGCTTGATGATGAGCTGATCATTTGAATCAGGTGTGTTGGAAGAGGGAAACGTCTAAAACATGCAGGATTGCGGCCCTCGAGGACCGCAGTTCGACACCCCTGACTTACAGTGTTTTCCCTTTTTGACTGATTGCACACACGGTCAGCACATTACAATAAAAGTGAGCTGCATCGCTCAGAAGGCAGGTGAATAATAACAGCAATAATAATGTATCTGTCTTATTCCAACTGTCAGTTCCTCCCACTCGAGGCATCCAGTGTAATTCTCAAATTCTGGAATGCAACGGTGAGACGTGTTTTAGAAATGTGATTGCCGTGTGTGAAATCACACGTGTGGGACGGACAAACACGTGAATGAATTCGCTCACGCTTCTCATTCCTGGACTTCCTGAAGTACGTTAGGCTTCAGATCTCGGATCAATATCGGCACAAGCAAATCTGAGCAAGTAAAGGACAACGCGGGCGTGTTCGGCATTGGTGTGACTGGGGAAGGAAAAAGGAAGAGAAGCAGAGAAAGAGACATTTAGAGAAATCTATGTGGAGAAAGCAGCACAGGGAGAAATTCACGGACAATTATGAACCAGTTGGCTGAAGTAATGAGGATAACGGCAGTGACAGTGATAATGATACCCACACTGCGATGTTCTGCTGTACATTAACCCTCAAATATCCAACATGTTTTTCACCTTTACATTACCAGGTAAGCTAGACATAACAGCTGGCAGGGAAGATCATGTTTAGAGCAACAATTGCAGCTATTTTGTTGTCAAATGTAGCCGATAAACAATGTATCTCACAAACAACCGATGCTATTAATGACATTAATACGATTACAAGTTGAAAAATTTAATGGCCTCCGAAAAGAAACATTCTCAATAACATTAGTCACAGAGCAGAGCATACGAAAAAAAACTTCATTCAGGCCATTGCAAGATATTTGATTACCTTCATTTAAAAGCTGTAATTACTGTAGGTGCTGTTTAGTTGTTGATTTCAATCTGGCTGGTTTGTTTTGAAACCAAAGCTGTATTTGACAATGTTGTGACCACTGGAAAGTACACCTTTCACACAGAGTTTTCCCAGTTCAAGA